AAAAATATATGAATTAAAAATATATTTTTTTAATTATTATTTTTTTTTATTAATATTATTAATACAATACTTGGTTGGGTCACCACTTGATGTCCAATCCTGACAAAACCCCAGTTGAGAACCACTGCTCTCTATACACAAATCCACAAGCACAATTTTGGCTCACCGTGACTTCAGATTATGCTGGGGTGAGAAATGAAAGCAGTTCAGGAAAAATTATTTTTCTTACCTTGAAGAACGAAGACAGAACTGCTCCTGTGTTTAAACAGTGTCAACACATGCAGCTGAGGACATGAACCAGGAAACCAATGTGAAATGGGCTGACAAAAGCTCCTACACAACGAAGATAATAGCTCGGCAACAATGGAGCTAAAGAACAGCCTGCGGGCCAAGTAACACAGCCATAATTGAAACGCCTAATTCGCTGTCATCAAAAGAAAGAAAAGCCCATGTGCTTGCAAGTCAACTTGAAAGCAACAGCAGATAGATCACAGTAGTCAAGAAAACGATTCCCATGTCTTCTAACGACTAGGTTACAGAAGAGTTACAAAACTTTTATAAAAAGTTTATAAAAATGTGATTGCAATGGCAAAGGCACATGCCAAGCTGCTGGATAGTTTACAAGGGGTCTGGCTTCTCACTAATTTGTCTAGCTTCTTCAATGTAGGCTATTCTGCATTTATCATATATATTTTTTTTAATCTGCAGCTTTTGCAACTCTCCAGACAAACAGAAGGTCAACGATCTGAGGTGAAGTAACTTGCGGCAGGCGCAAAATGGATAAAAAGCAGGCTCTTTTTTTTCTACCTACCTGTTTGGGCAAAGCTGGGTGAATTGAACTGACCACACACATGCATACATGCACATGTACACTTGGGGACTGTGTGTACACTCATTAGCAAGGCGAAGTGCCTGGCCCAGGCTGATTAAGTCTGTGTGTTATTCTCCAGAGGGCCCAGCCAGTGGACCTCACTTGACTTCATTAACTCAGTAGACTGAGACAGGGCTAACACAACATGGGCAAGTTGCATAACATCCTGTAAAACTATGAAAAAAACTACGTAAAGGGATTATAATAATTATAATATAAAATACTTTTATGAACATATTTTAAATGTATATAAATATGAAGTGCATAATATATATTTTAAAAATATTAAATGTATATAAAATTATTATTTTATTAAAGATATATTAATACAGCAGTAGTTTGAGCTACAGATAGTCGGAGGCGAACATGGACAGGTTGCATAAAATCCTGAAAAAAAAAAAAGCTATGCAAAGAGATAATTATAATGATATAATATACATTTATAATTATATTTTAAATATATAAAAATACACCTACAAAAAAATTATAAAATTATAAAATATATATGCAGGACAATTATTACTATTATTATAAAATAAAATGAATATAAAATAAAATGTATATAAAGATGTTTTTAAAACTACAAAAAAGTTTTAGATGTTACATGAATAAAATAGTTGTTAACCTTTAATAGCTATAGTCAGTTAAGCTGCAGATTAAAAAAAAATATTTATAAATTAAAAATACAGATGATATATGCCAAACAGCCTATGTTGATCTGTAATCCCACTGAAAAGCTTTGCCTCCCCTTTCAAAAATGGATCAAAAAATGTCCCTTGGCTAGCCTACCCAGACCACGCTCTGCACTCTTTGAAGTCACAAGGGAAGCTCACATAACACTAATAGCCTAGTCGTGCTCCAAATGGCTGAGTCACTTTTTTCCCTTTTTTGCTTCAGTGCTGTGCTGCCTCACTACCCAGCAGCTCCCAGACCATGTTGACCTTAAACCTGAGAAAAAAACACATGCACTTTTCTATTATCAGCCTCTCACCGCAATGCACTTCCACCCAAACTCCAGGACGTGAGGCCTCGAAAGCCCCAGAAGAAAAAAACAACAACAAAACAGCCACCATAACCGCTGCTGTCAGACAATAATTTGAAGAAAAAAAAAAAAAAGAAAACTGGCGCAAGATTCACTGTACATACTGTACCCTGGGCTGTGGCAGGCAGCCCAGACTGGCATCCTGCCAAGTCCACAATAAAACAAACAGAGACGGCATGCACCAGCCGAGAGGAGCGAGGGGGGCGGGGGTGTGTGACTGAAATGGTACACCACAATACACACGACATACCTAATACCATTCTTCAGCATCTTCTCCTGAAGACGAGGGAGCGGAGGAGGTGGAGGGCAAAGCCACTTGCTTGGTGTCACTGATAAAAATCAAACCGCTCAGAACAGAAAGGATAAAAACAGAAAGTTTGCAATGAAAGAACAAAGCAACCAAAAAAACAAAACAATCGAAGAGCCGCGCCGTGTCTCTGCCTCTCCGCCACTGTCTGTGTCTATAAAAGTGTTTCCACTGAAAAGCTTGAGCATTACACAAGAGTGAAGCTCTCAAGAGCCAGACTGCTACAAACAAAAACCAGGTTAGCGCTGTGTGTCAAGCATCGAGCATATGAACGTTAAAACTGTTTTGTTCTAGGGTTTTTTTTGTGTTCTGTTTTGATGCGCTAAAAATAAGCCGGTTCGCAATCCTCGCTTATTCCGCCTGTTGAGGGAGGCTGTCTGGGGCTGATTCTTTTGGTAAAGATCTTAAGGAATTATGACTAGTTCTTCTGCTGTTTTAAATGCAAAACAGCTATCATGATTACCGACATTTCTCATTTTTTCTCAATTTTATGAGGGTGATGTATAATTAGGGAAAAAAACAGAAACTGTATGTGGCAGAGTGCTTAATGAACACAGCCCAAGCTCAGCCACCTCATGTGCAGATGTGGTGTTTTCTATTTATGTTTGTTTCAGATATTTGAGATCAGTTCAGAAGGATTGTGGGAGCACTTCAAATCAACTGATTTTGATGTGAAAATTGGCTTTAAGTAAAATAGCTTATTCTAATATTAATTTTATGAAGATGGAGGAGGAGGAGGATTAGAAGAAGAAGAAGAAGAAGACGAAGAAGAACAAGATGACGAAGATGAAGAAGACGAAGGTAGTGGTGAAGAAGAAATGCAGGGGAAGAAGCAGCAGCAGCAAAAGAAGAGGAAGAAGAAGAGCAGAGGAAGACTAAAAGCAGTAGCAGTGGAAGATGAATACGTAGAAAAGCAACAAAAATAGCAGAGGAAAAGGAAGCAGCAGCAAAGGAAGAAACAACAGAAAAAACAGCATCAGGTGAAGAAGCAGCAGGAGAAGCATCAGCAGCAGAGGAAGAAGAAGAAGCAGAAAAAGAAGATGAGGGAGCGGAACAGGAAGAGAAAGAGGAAGAACACCTTTTGATATAATAATCACATGGTACATGGTCCAAAAAACAACACTGTTGTTTGAGAAAATGAGATTTGAGTCTATGTTTAAAGCTAAGGACACTTGAGCTGCAGCGACCGATGTTCGGACTACAGTAAACTCCTGCAGTCATCCAGAGAGGGTGAAGTGTGAGGCCCCGCAAACACGAACACATCAAATGGCACTCAGTCCTTCTGTTTGGAGAGTCACTGAGCAAGTCAGTGGCTTTACAAAGGTCTTTTTGAAGCATTCTCTAGCCCACAGTCTCATGCAACCCAGCTTCTGAGTGCAGGATTATCATATTATCCAAACTGCACAAGCCAGTCTCCCATAAGGATTTCTGGATTACTATAATGACACGGAACATACTTTTGCACGAGTACAGGCGTGCGTCTCTGCGGGTCAGTGCGGAATACCAAACAGAGGTATTCATTGGAGTTCAGACTCGGCCTCTTTGTCTCATCGCAGAACAGCTCTCATAAATGTCACCATGCAGTACATGCTCCGTGGGCTGCCATTATGAGTGCACGAGTACTACAATATCTCCACAGAGTCTGTTATTGAACATGCATCTTGGGATTTGAACAGCCTCTAAAATAAACATTAGATATTTCCTTAGAGCAGCGTCTGCCATGCTGAGTCGTGCATGAATTGAATTGGGCGGCCCAGCGTGAGATGTCACTCATCTCTCCACTCCACATGTTTTTAAATGTCCCTGCAAAAAGTCAATCTCATCTCAATATATGAAGATATTGACATCGGAAAGTTGGAAAGGTTTGGTGGTGTAATCTGTGAGGTTTTTTGAACTAATCTAATCTAAACTCCTAATTATGTGGAATCGATTACCTCGGCACAGCACTCGCTCTTAATTATCATAAACCCGAGTGTGCTCGATAGGGGGCAAAGAGTCTACAAAATTTGACCATTGTGCATATCTGGTGTGTGGTAAGGACTTTGACTTCACTGGTCTGTGAATTTGGCAATCGCAGAGGGAGGTGAAGGGAGATTCCTGTTGGCCTGGGCTGGAAACCTAGAGTCCCAATGCTTTTATAGACTCTATATAAACCAGATTCACCACAGACCACTTCTCCATTAAAGAAAAAAAACTCTCCTCTCCAGAAAAAAACAAAAACACATACAACCTCCAAAAATCAACTAGAATCAAATGTAGATTTTCCAGGACTCTACATATAGAATAGATATATATATATATAGAGCTGATATATGATTTCTGAAGGATCATGTGACACTGAAGACTGGAGTAATGATGTGGAAAATTAATTTACAATCACAGGAATAAATTACATTTTAAAATATGTTAAAATACAGAAATTGTAATAACTTAAATTGTAAAAATATTTCACAATATTATTGAGTTTTCTGTATTTTTGATCAAATAAATAAAACCTTGATGAGCATAAGAGACTTCTTTCAAAAACATAAAAAAAAAAATACCGACCCCAAACTTAGGTAGTGCAAGTAGTCAAAATTATTATTATTTTTTTTATTATTACATTTTTACAATTATGTTAAACTATTTTATTAAACCATAAAATTATTTAAAATTACCTGTTGATTGCAATTCAGTACCTCTTCCTGTCATTCCAATTCAACTTTCAAATGCGTGAACAAAGTGAGAATTCAGAATTTCACCCAACCCTTAAAAACAAGCATCCATTTTAGTGATGTTACCTGAGTGAGACAGCAAGTGCATCCTTAGGCGCAGACTGTCTAGGAAGCGTTTTCCACAAAGCTCGCATCCGTAGGTCTTCATTCCGCTGTGCAGCTTCCTGCAGGGAGAAACATGACAAAATAACATCAGCCAACACAGTTTATGTCACTCGCACAAAAACGGGCTTTCGAAAGCATCTGGGTATAACTATGTAATTCGATTAGCGTACTAAATGGCAAAGACAGAATGGCATAATTTTAATTCCCACCACACAAGTCCTACCGCTCCTCTTACACCAGATAACAAGACGGAGGGTATATTAAAACCAGCACCCTTGTTTTTGTGAAATACTAAAGTGAGATTTGTAAAACCGCTGTTTATCTTGAGAGAGGAATAAACCAGTGTTTGCAAACACTTGAAGCTAAATCTCCCTGTCATCAAACACTTCAGCTGCTTATTTCCATATTAGACGATCGTAAGTATATTTAAGATATTTAAGTATATATAAATATATTTAAGCCTGTCACTAGATGTCATGAAATGCCCTGAAAGTGAAAAAAAATTATCAATGGCACATGTGGTTTCAAAGTCTTATTGTTCATTCATTCAGTTCCCTAAGCGGAGATGAAGGAGCCCTTTATCTAAACAGGAACATATAGATGGCCATGAGTCCCCAGATAAGAGTGACTTTAACGGCTGAATTTGGCTGCAGGGTCCATTTCAAACAGGTGTCAACTTTTCATGAGGCAGAAAGTGAAACATTTGCTCTCTTAAATTATAACATCTCTGAGTATTAGGGAAAGATTAACCCAACAGAACGGAGCCACACAAAAGCATGTGGCCCCACTGAATTTTGAGTCAAGTGGACTTTCAAAGCAATTTTCATAAGTTAAGCTGCCCAATTAATGTAGGTAAGTGTCTAAAACATTGTGGAAGAAATCTAAATTTAAGTTTAAACTCACTGTCATGTTGCTTGAAACTTCTACTGAATGAAACTGAACTGAATTGGTTTTTATTAGCATGCTTACAGCATTTGGTAATTGTTTCCAGTGGTAATTAGCTCATTGTTTGCACTTTAGTGCCAAATGTATACATCTTTAATGAGGAACAAAGATGTGTACTTTCTTCACTTTCTATTCATACTACATAGATAATGCACACTGCGAAATAAGTTTAAGGCAGGTTTTTGTTTCTTTAAACTGAGTCATTTTTATGCTAGTGAAATCCATAAACTGCTTGGTTCAATTGATTCTTTGGTTGATTCTTCTATAAAGACGCACTAACCAAAAACTATTTTTATCAAACAACCCCTCATTTCTGTTTGAAGTTGTGAGAATCAGCGTCACATGCTGGGTCGTAATGATTTAAGCTTTTATTCTCTGTTCTTATAAACAAGAGTTGGCAGAACATGGAAATAGTGGCAAGAATTATGAAGCAAGGAAGTGTGGTTTAACCTCAGCGAGAGACAGAAAAAAAAACACCAATGGAAAACAATTTGGGGGTTGAGATTGCAAAAGAGAGACTTCAGAAAAGAAACAAAAAGGGGGGGGTGGGGGGTGGATGAGAGAAAACTTGCAATGCATCCAAAATCCGGATGGCTGTCTTCTAGATGGGGATTGTGGAGACCCAACAAACAAAGGGAAGAATGAAGCAGCAAAGCCCTTTGGCAAGCTGCAAGTAATTAAAAAGGTCTGTAAACGCCTTCCAGGATAAAGGGCACTTCAAAAGACGGGCGGGCGAGTGAGCGCGCGAGGGGGAGTTGGGAAAAGCCAGGGGTCTCTGCACCTTTGGGATCTGGGCTAATGCGTCACAACACAGAGATACTGTAGGGGGAACACTCAAAGGCCTTTGTGTGCCTTCAATCTAGCCATCGTCCCTCTCCTGAGGTCTGAGGAGAGCACGCTTCCTCCGAGTAGAGACTGACAGAGAGCGCATACTGACAGAGTGACCCTCTGAGCCCTGAGGGGACATTAGAGAGCTGATAGAAGGCAGACTGGCTACTTGAGGCAGGAAGGGCCGACTTTCACTACATACTGTACATTATGCTAAGTTCATTACTTGACAAAACTTGTACTACCTTTACAAATGTCACTTTGAATTAGGGTTGCACAATATATCGGCAGCAGGATTATGTTATCTAAAACTAAAACTGTAAAAAAAACATTTGTATTATTTTAAATAAAATAAATGTTAACTGTAATAAAATATATATATTTCAGCAAGTTACCAAGAAAATGTTTCTCTTTTTTATTTAGCTTAATTTGATATACTAAAATAACTAAAAGCTGAAAACTAAAATATAACTGAAATAAAATAAATAAAAACTATGTAGACAAAAAAGAAAAAAAAGACAACAAAATTAAAGAAATTAAAATGAAAACAAAAATATATATAAAAATAAAAAAGTCATTCAACGTATGAATAAAAACTGTAATATCTCGATGTACCATGTTGGATATTTAATTTTATGCTTATATCCCCTATTTTTAAATTTGGATTACCTTTGCCATCATCTAACACTCACTTATAATTAAACTTTAAAAAACACTAATAATTTAATAACACTGGGTAATCTTTAGCAAATCTAAATTAATATCCATTTTCATACTGTACTGTCATACTGTCATGTGATGCCTAAATTCATTTGTAGTATTTCAATTTTTGTAGTATTGGTCATTGGTTGTTAGCTATAACATGGAAATAAATATCAGCATAGTATCTACCATTGTGCATTCCTTCTTCCAATAGTATTGAAGAGTAATTTTGCGTTTGATTTTACCTTCATTGAAGCAGTCAGACGTTTACATGCAATACCACGGTTTGCTTAAAATCAGAGGGAGGTAATTAGTTTTATTTTTTTCATTTTTACAGGTACTTGGGAAGCGAGGGCGACCCTGTATGACATGCTCAAACCTGCTTCCAGCGTGGAGCGCGGCAGCAGTCCTATCGTAAATGCCCTGCCCCTGCAATTACTACAACTTCTATTTTCTGGACAACCAGAAGTAAAGCCTCTGTAGATTTTATGGGACATATATGTCCCCGCACACCACCTCTTCAAGACACACACACCTCATATGTGTGTGAACTATGGCAGTTCCTTTCCCCCCCAGGCCTTTCCAACCAGCTGTGCTCTGGCTTTGCCACAGAAACCGTAGATGGTGTGTGTGTGAAAGCAGAAGAGAAAGGGGAGGGGTGGCACTCTGTGTGCCTGAAACAGACTGACTGTAGTCATTAAGGAAGCAGGCATAAAACTCTCAAGCCATTTACTCAGTTAATAAGCGACTTTGTCTAACAGTCAGTTTTGACAACAGCAATAAATTTTAAATTTATGTCAACAAAACATATGCTGAACACCTCATTTCAATGCCGGAGTGGCGTGCTGGCTCGTAAATCAGCCTTGTGTTTGAAACCCGAGTAGATTACAGGCCTGTGTTATTGAGCTGTTATAGCCTGGCCCATATAAACCTGAACTTTCTCACTCCTGAGTGGACCCCAGGCTGTACATCATAGCAAGGAGTTCCCCCGTCAGTGTGGCTCGCTCACTGCCCCCCAGCAGGCCGGAAACCCCAAAAATACTAGGCATAAAAGGCATGAGTGTAGGTAAATTTACAGATTTTCAACAATGACTGGTTGGATGCCTGAAATGACTACTTGACTGATCAAAATCTAAATTCTGTCATCATTTACTCACCCTCATGTCGTTCCAAACCTGTATGAATTACTTTTTCTCTGAGAAACACAAAATAAGATATTTTGAAGAATGCTGGTAACCGAACAGCTTTGGTGACCATTGACATCCATTTTATGGCCAAAAAAACAACAACAAAAATTTCTCAAACATTTCTTTTGTGTTCCACTGAAGAAAGGAAGTTAAACAGGTTTGGATTAATATGAGGGTGAGTAATCGATGACAGAATTTAAATTTTTTTGGGTGAACTACGCCTTTAAGGAAACCCTGACCCTTATTTCCCTGACCCTGTTTTCATAAGAGATGTCTCTGCATGTAAAAAAAAAAAAAATAAATAAAAAAAAATAAAAAAGGCTAAACAGAGAGCATTCAAAATCAGCATGAAACGCACAACAACTTCGCACAACAAGATGTCCATCTGAATGTGTTTGGCTTTTCAGAGAGGGTTTAACCATCTGAACACCTAAAGAGCATCACATTGTCAGCAAACTTAGGTGGCAATACTGCACCTTAATGCTTAATCTACCTGTCAAAGTATTAGAAACAAAAAAGATGACAAACGCAGTGTACCTACTACTGTAGAACAAATTCATGTCAATGGAGATGACAGAAGAAAGCGGGAAAGGTTAGCTCCCCAGTGTGGGAGTTTTTTGGATTCTGCAAAAAAGACTGCAGTAAGTGCTGATCAACAGTTAACTTATTGTGCAATTTTGTACAGCTATGGTTACTCTTTATCTCCCCTTCCCTACACTCATATTTTGAATGTCTATATGCCAAAACCACCAGAAAACACAAAAAAGTAAATGTAACTGATAGCATTTTTATTCTTTCTGTAGATATTCCGATAATATTGTTATTGTGAATTAATTTGGCCACAATAATCATGTTCTGAAAATCTGATATTGTGACAGCGCTATATGAAAACTTATATTCAGATAAAAAAAGAAAGAAAAAAAAAAACTAATTGACAAGACTTTGTTGGACAATAAATAAATAAATATCCCACTCAGATATATACCATTACCAGCAACAGAAGAGACAGAGGGAGTTTAACACATGCATTCAAATTCCCTTCAATAAACTACTTTTGAATTTTTAGCTATATATTTAACTGAAGGAGCTGATTCAATGCTAAATGCTCATGTCTCTCACGACAATAAACTATGCTCTACTGTCTGCCGTCTACTGTCCTCCACCTTGCTCTTTTCATCCTAGAGTCTTTCATCTGTCTGGCCCTGCCCCAATGAAACAGGTTGGAGTACTGCTAGGCTTAAGAGCAGCGTGCTTAACAACTGTAGTGAAGGGGCATGTGACACTAGCATTGGGAGAGGCTATGTATGCTAGGCCAAAGAAATGATAATGCTAAGAAAATCATGGGAGAGTGCAAGGCTGTTCCTGTGAACAGAAAAGCTGGCCCGTGCAGCCAACCA